TCATTTTTTTCACCAGCTCCTCACTATATCAAGAGTTGATGTTGCAACCCTAACTGTCAATACTAGAAGATGCAATCACTGCAATATACAGGATGGCATTTGCTTCAGTGTCTCTCTCAAAATCTGCAAGAAAGGCAGCATCCAGAAAAAAGTGCACTTGTATTTTTCAGGAACTTAACACATCATGTTAAAGCCTTCCCCGTGCCATAGCAAAGCAGGGACCATATGAATTTTTTTACCTTTGCATAGAGCATGTTTTTGATTCTTTGTGCTAATGCATTCGTTCCAATTAGTGTAATTCCGTACATTATTAAGTTGTAAATGGAAAAAAAAAAGAACCTGGTAGGTAGTGGAATCATCTGTAATTTTTATGAACCTGAATATCCCTGAGCAGAAGTCCCCTTTGCTTACAAGGCAGCCACTTGAGGATGGGACTTACTGGTGCTTCTCTTTTCTGGGAGCATATTACGCTCTTCACATTATCTTCATTTTCTTAAAGACCAGTTGTCTAATGGGGTGGTGGTGTATTTTCAGTTTCCTTTGCCACCCCTTTCTTTAGCATTATTTGAAGCTACAAGTTCACCAGGAGCTGAATTCCTGTTTACCTATTCAGAATTCCTTCAGTATTAGATCAGATCCCATAAGGGATCATCTTGATTTACAGAAGCAGCTTCTCTTTTCACTTGGAGTCAAACCCTGACCTCAGCGAAGTCAGCAGGGAAAGTCCCATTGACTCCATGGAGCCAGTTTATCAGTTATTCAGCCGCGGACCTGAGGACACTGGGAGGGGACTGGGAGGGCGTTATGTGATGGCAGTGGGTAAGACCCCAGCCCCAGCCTGGTCCCTCTTTACCATGAGGGGTGCCTGTCCCTGCTCCAGGGCGTCGATTCGAGCAGCGGTCTGCAAAATGCCTCGTGGCTGGAGGCGAGGAGGTTGGGACGCCGGCTGAGGCAAACGACTCCGGTTCTGCTTCCCCATCTGCTAAATAGGGATAATAACTTCACTCTGCCCTTCGGAAGGGGGCAGGGAGAGTTCTCATTAATTAATGAGAATTAACTGCTTGTAGAAAGGCTAAACGCTGCAAGCAGCTACCTTTCAGATGCGTATCCAAACTTAAGCTTTTGAAGGCTTGCCCACCCCTATTAAATACTTTAAGGAGAAATCAAAGCAGCCATCCTCTGTTAATGCAGGCAAGAAACGCTGAGATGCTAGCACCATATAT